GCAAGCGCCGGGACCTGGGATCGCCTTTGTGGCCCTGGGAAAACGTGCGCGCTTAAAAATGAATTAAGAACCCCTCGTCCATTTCCGGAAATGAGCTCTGATGCCCGTAAGGATTCTTGCGCATCAAGGCTCGTTAGACGAGGTATTTACGAGGTTTAACGTTGATAGATTCGGTTTGGGTATTTCGTGCCGCGGCGATGTTATTTGGACGTATTTCTGTCTACCGGAACTATGTGCATTAAGACATGAGCCCTGAGACCCATAATAAGATATGCATAACAGGGCTCACGTCATAATGCACATAGTTCCGTTTGACAGAAATGCGTCCATTTGATCCTCGGAGGAACCCAACTTACCGGAAGGAACCGACTTTTGTCAAGTATGTTCTGAAGTGGTGCGCAAAGAGACATGATTCTGGTAAGGTAAACCAATACTGCCGCGCTAAGGAAAAACGCCGTATGAACCTTCAGACGTTGCCAAGTTTGCTTCGATTAAATACGAATTTACTGGGAAAGTTGATATTTCTTTGAATGGACCTGTTGCATGCAAGAGATACAGCTGTGCGAATAGACTTTCCAGAGGTTAAATGGCACGAAAATTACGATGGTCACATTAAAAAAGTCTGAAATACACTCCTTACTGCGCAATTTGCGTTACAACGACGACTCGGCATCTTCCGGAAATCACCGTGTCCGCCGTTTGCTCGTTTCCGGTGATTAGAAAATTGCCCCCAGACGCGGGAAATTTGAAAAAGCGCGCTCCTAACAGCGCAAATTGCGCAGTAAGGAGTGTATTTCAGACTTTTTTAATGTGACCATCGTAATTTCCGTGTCAGTCAACCTTTAAAAAGTCTATTCACGCGGCTGTATCTCTTACATGCAACAGGCCCATTGTACAGACAATTTTGTCCGCACTTTCATCTACAACTCGTGGTACAACACCGAGAAAATTAAATTACCAATTTAGCAATTCTATTGCTAAATGAAGTGACTGCAATATTTAGACGTAGATTTCACCAAAAAAAAAAAAATGCTTCTTTAACCACTATCGTAAGTTAATTTAACCACGGGGGTAGCTACAGTAGCATTTTTTTGTAAAATCTTGTTGAAAAATTGAAACATTGCAGTCACTTTTTTTTTAGCAATTGAATTGTTAAATCAGCAATGTAATTTTTTCCGTGCAGGAACGACTTTGAATACAGCTCTAAGACTACTCCTTCATTTTGAGGCAAAGCAGAGTTGAATCACAGTCTAATTGCACACAACTCATAACATGGATCCAGTAAAGTACATTGAACTCCCTCGGAATGTGTGATATCATCTCTTCATTGTCGGGTCCATTGCTCATTGGGCATTAGCGCCGAGATTAGTGCGATTGTTTCCCTGCCCGGTCGGCGATGAGCCAATAATCCCGACTGTCCCGTTTCAATGTCAGCGACGATGTCTAATCCAACATCCAACGACAACATCCGGTGCGGCGCGGCGTCGCCTTTCGATCCGCTCGCGGCTCGCGGTCCCGTTGGATTTTCGGTGAGATTTCGTCACCGAACAACGGACGTTGCTCATCGGTACCAGCAATGGCGCTCGGCGCATCGCACCGTGATCATGCTGTGCGGCCCGATCAGGCCCAACGACATCGGTGTCATTTTATTCATAATATTGACGTATTTAAGAAGTATGTGGATAGCATTTTGCAAAAAGGAACCAAGAGCATTCATTCCAATGTCACTAAAGCTCTGCATAGACTATCAAATTCCGAACCAATTCCGAGCAAAGTAGACATGCTGATGACTGGCGGTCACCATCTACCATCAAATTTTGACGGGCCGCACTTTTTTGTTCAAAGTAAGATCAGAACGGAGTGCCACCATTCATCATTTCCTGCCACAGGAAACATTTCTACCAAGTTTTCATTTTAAAATGAAGCAAATTAATGAGTTTAAGACTGATGACTCCCGACACTTTGATGCTACTTTGATCGGAATTGGTTCGGGAATTTGATCGTCTATCGAGGCCGTAAGACCGCGCAACTTGGTTCACCTTGCAAATATAAACTGATCATTTAAACAATTTTCAGCTTTACTGTCAATGAACTATGAATTCATGACGAAAATTACCTTAGTAAATTCAATTTTTTGCAGATGTCAGTAATTGTAATGCAGAGAATGTCAATTGCACAATCCTAGCAACGTCGGAATGCTCTTGGTTCTTTTTTACAAAATCCAATCCATGTAATAGCACGTAGACAGCCAAAGTGCGAAAGCACGTATCTCTATTACGGTGTTTATAAATTTTCCTTCCTTTTTTATTTTTCAAAAGAGAAACAAGTCAACTTTATAGCTTCAAATTTGTAAAGAGCATACCGTTAATGAAGATGAAAAATCAAGGAACTATTCAGGAAATTATGTTACAGAGTTTTTCAAAACAAATATAAAGTATGGCAGGAAGGCGGAGATACGTGATGTCGCACTTTGGCTATCGATTTCAGTGGCGTGACGTGCTTTGCAATATATCGATTGATACGCCATTCAAACCTATGAAAAAAGATCGATTATCAGGGTGTTCGCAGCGAAAACCTTAGTGATCGATTCTTTACCATAGCTTCAAAAGGCGAGATATCGATAAGCGATCATTCATGCCACGCCACTGCTAGACTTGTAGAGGGGATAGTGTGCGTAATCTACAAATTGGACCAGTCTATGCAGTGGAGAACCACTATCATTCTAATAGCGCAAAGATAGTTCAACTTCCAGTTTCACAATCAATTATTTAAAAGCAGAACAGTAACTTAAATCAGGTCACTTTTTTCATTTAATCAACGTTTCCTAGGGTATTCAAACAGACACTTTTTAAATTTTCATAGCTTACTCTATAATATAAAATCATAAAAATAAGGCGTAGCATCTGAGACGCGTTCTTATGCTGCGTAATAGAAAATTCTTTAAGAGAAACGCGTAAACGCGAAGCGCTGCAAGTGGGTTGGATCGCGAAGCGGTCTGAGGGCGTAGCCCGCGAGTTTCCTTGTAAGATGATAGAATGTATGTAGAATGATGAAGTAATATCGCAATGCTAGCAGTTTCGAATAGCAACATGCTGTCCAATTCGTCCTCCATCAAGTATATCAAGAGCGGGATCCGCAAAACGCCTTCAGTTGGGCGTGTATGCAATCAAGGCAACACTTGAGCACGAATAGTTGCATTCACGTGCATTGACGTTGCATCGAATTCATCGGTGCACAAACAACTAAAACACAGTATTTTCATCGACATTTGGCAGCGTCGACAACGATTCACACAGCGACTGACCAAGGGCGAACGGAACGGATCTAAGCTTCCGAATTTGAGGGGGTTCCGATATTTTTGGGGATCGCGATGAAGGCTCCAGGCCGGAATCAAGGATTAGTGCTTCACCATCGAGATTGATTATCGAGGAGAAAATAGACCTGTGATGATATTGAAATGTTCATGGTGATATTAGCATGTAATTAATTGGTTTTGTACGTTTGAGGAATTCACTGCATGGATGGCTAGGGTTCTGCAGATCGGCAAAGAAATGATACTCTGTGTTTAGACGTTAGTTTCTCGTTGAATCGTTTGAATTTTGTTGCTCCTTTAAATCGACTCTTAACAGATATTTTTTTTTTTTTAAACAACACCCAAGCCTTGAAACTCGTAAGAGTATATTATTATTTAATCCTTCCAATTTATCTGTGCTTCCATCTTCCTATCATTATCTCTATCCATCTATCTATCTATCTATCTATCTATCTATCTATCTATCTATCTATCTATCTATCTATCTATGTATCTATCTATCTATCCATCTATCCATCTATCTATCTATCTATCTATCCATCTATCCATCTATCTATCTATCTATCCATCTATCCATCTATCTATCTATCTATCTATCTATCTATCTATCTATCTATCTATCTATCTATCTATCTATCTATCTATCTATCAATCTATCTATCTATCTATCTATCTATCTATCTATCTAAGCCTCGCTCTCTGATCCAGAAATTGATGCACTCCAATTTTAGCCTCTTCCCGATTGAAAATGCCGGAAATATCCGGCAAAACGCCTCGAGTATTTTTATGTTAAAATAGCCCTGCTTTCCCAGATCTCAAATATATCATTACCTACACTGAAAGAAAAACTCCGGCCGTGGAAGTCGTACTTAGACATACCGTCCGCGTTTCGGGCCCAGACGCGGAAAGTTCTGGGCGCATCATCCGGAGAATTCGAAGCTACGGCTCCAGCACCCAGAATAGTTCCAGGGCCTCTGAGCCTGGAACGGACGGTTTGTCCAAATCGACAGTGTAAGTCAGCAATCACATGACTTGTTTGCGGTGTCCGAAAATCTCCGCCTCTACGTTATCTTTTTGAAGGAGAACAAATTGACATCATTCCTTGAAGTTTTTGCAGAATTTTCAGAGTGAGTAAAAATCACGACGATTTTAAAGAATGGCCGTTGAGTAGTTTTCCGTTAAAATTACAGTATGACAGGAAGTCTGCCACGTCGCAAACCGAGTTATGTGATTGCCGACTTACACCGTCGATATAGCCCGTAGCTTTTTTTCAGTGTATCTACACGTTTAACGTGAGTTACAGGGAGATTTTGATTAAAGCTTCCCGATTGACTCGTGTGTTTCAGTATCGATATCCGGCGACGAAGAAACAGGCGACCCGTACGGGAGCGAGTTCGGGGGCGGGGTGGAGGGGCGCGAGGAGGGGGGCGACGACTCGCGGGGGGACAACGACACGCTGACGTCATCCTCGCCGCTGCCGTCCGACCAGCTCATCGGGGGCGACCCGGAGGCAGGCTTCGGGGGCGCCGCCGCTGGGGAGGGGCCCGCCGAGACCGGGAAGGAGGAGGGCGCCCCCCTCGACTGCCCCTGCCCCTGCGCCGAAAAGGGCGCCCCCACCGTCTGCGGACAGACCACCTACGGCCAGACACGCACCTTTAATTCCGAGTGTCATCTTATTTGCTTTAACATGTGCAGCACATCCGTGCGTAAGTATGTTGAGTCTTTTTCCTCCGTACATAGACTACATCGGCAGCGGGCTGATTATTGAAATTGATGGATCAAGCGGAAAGACTTACCGATTAGACAAGATTTAGAAAGATTTACCGATAGACGTAAGTGATTACTTACCTCCTTTGTTCATTGCAACTACACACGCCTTCAACAATTGGATTGCTCCATTTTGTCGTTGCCTCCTTTATCTATCGATTTCGTGTATCAATTTCAATAATCAACTCGCAGGTCTCATTAAAAAAAGAATCCCTGGGCAAGACGCTGTATTGAGGGGACGAAACATTGTCTCACATTTTGGTCACCTTGTAGTGCTTCAAAGATATAAGTACGACCGAAGAGCTATGACTGGCAAACAGAATTGTCAACATATAAATGCTATAATACTCTTTAAACATTTTCAAAATTCATTTTCTCAATTTCATATGTTTCCTCCCATGTTGAGTGAACGTGGTCAGTTTGCATGTGTCCTAAAATGTTGCAATCTATGTTAATATGGGACCGGGGTGAAGTTAATTTGATTTGGTCCACAGGCAAAAGTATTGATCTATAATAAAGATAAAATGATCATATTAATTTGTTCTTGTTTATTTTTCCTTAGGATATGCTTTGGTCCGAAGTGAAATTTGTCTCCCTCCTGTCTTGGTTAGTGATGGTAAGTAGGACACAATGTTTGTCGCCTATCTATGTAGTTATCAAAGGAAGTCATTTAATATCAACCAGTATTGAACCAACATCACCATTTATTTAAGATCGACTAAAAGTAAGAACACGCAAAAGTGAATAAAAAGTTGTAGCCATCAGAACAAGAATGTAGGTACGATTGATGCATTAACAGGAGTTACTGGTGGCTGAACTTTGCAAATCCATCCCTTCAAAGTGTAGGGGTACAAACTTTTTCCCCCTTTTACTTTTTTTACCCTTCGTTGTAGGGGTGTTGTTACTCTATTGAATGCCGTATATAAGTGATTATTCGAAACAATGATCAAATCTTACATCCTCGGTCAATGAGAGGGCTGACATGGGTCAGTTTTTTTAAATCAAGTTCAAGCTCCCAAAAGCTGAGCGAACTTAATAATTCTGGCCACAGTATCTTGTAAAAGAAAGTTCGGACACTATCGGATCTAAATCTGATTTGCTTGCCCAATTTTGGCCATATGAGGCTACGTCAGATGCTGCAAGTAAATTACTTAAAAAGATCGGAGTTGATTGGCTTTATATACCTACAGAATGGTAAATTTCACTGGAATTAGGTACTCAATGAGACGTGATAACTATGTTTCAAATCAATTTTCCCTCTTAAATTCTAAAAAAAATGTCAACATTGATCTCAATAGGACTTCATTCCGCAATAATTGGGAGATAAAATTTCTGGCTCTTCCGTAAGTAACATCTATTTGCATAGAGAAACTAAAGGTACATACTTTGTTTCTAAATTGAGCCAGCATGGTTCCCAATTGCAAAATGGAGTTCAACCATGGCCAGCGGGCCGATTATTGAAATTTTGTGTTTGTTGGGCGGACATAGGTGACATAGATTAAATGGCAAAGCGTTATTGGTCGGCTATGTCTTATCACTTCTTTGTCGCGCCTTTGTCAGGTGGAATTCACGACAAGCTAAAGGCATCTTTTCAGTTTCCGACAGTATGTCGTCCATTCCACCTGCCAAAGGCACGACAAAGCGGCGATAAGACATAGCCGACCAATCACGATCCGCCATTTTACCTATGTCATCTATGTCTGCCCGACAAACACAAAATTTAAATAATCGGTCCGCAGGTTGGCGACAAGTGCTTAGTGTCTGATGTTGGTAACAATCCCTCCCGTCAAAAATCGCCACCATTTTTTGGACCCTGATAGTGTTTATACGGAGTGTGATATTCATCTACTTTCTCTCTACTTCGTTATTATAATGTCAGCTCTATTTTCCATTTGCAGTAACGGCTCAGGCGAGTTTCGTACCCGGGATTGGCTACGGCGGGGTTGGGGTCGCAGGCGTCCCTCCCGTGCGACGTGGCGGTTCGACCCTGGGGCCGGCGGAATGGGCCTGCGACTGCGCCTACTGCCCGGCGATCGACAGACTTCGCCCGGATTACTACCCGATATGCGCCGAGCGGATGGGCCGACGAACTACCTTCGATAGCTGGTGCCACTTTGACTGTGAGAATCGCTGCTACGAGCACACGAGTAAGTACACAAGTAAGCACACGAATAAGTACACAAGGAAGCACACGAGTAAGTACACAAGTGAGCACACAAGTAAGCACACGAGTAAGTACACAAGTAAGCACACGAGTAAGTACACAAGGAAGCACACGAATAAGTACACAAGGAAGCACACGAGTAAGTACACAAGTGAGCACACAAGTAAGCACACGAGTAAGTACACATGCACACGAGCAAGTTCACAATATAGAATACATGCAGAAGTTGGTGGCGAGAGAAGGAATGTACAATCCGATGGCCAAAGTGCAAAATCACGTATCTCTGTCTGCGATCATACTTTTTTGTTGCTCAGGAAAACTAGTCAACTTCATTCCTTGAAAACTCCGTTGATTTTCCTGCTATGTTGGCAAAATATTTCGTAGAAGTCTCAAGCTGTATACTTGACTTGTTCCTCTTCATAAAATAAAATATCAGCAGAGATTTTAAAACACCGCGACGGAGATACGCGGTTTTGCACTTTAGCCATCGATTTCTACGTCACGGTAAGCAAACAAAGGTCTACTAAAATCCGTTGCAAAGTTAGGCCTTACCGGGGAGAAGGTGTGTCTACTTCTCCTCAGAAACAACGCATGTGCAGTTAGTTTCTCTATGCAGATAGGTGGTTGTACGTATGACCCAGAAATAGAAGTTCATAGCTACAATTCAATATTGCCGAATTTCCTCTCGTAAATTGCATTATCTCCAGGAAAACTTCGTGGGTTTCTAATTGAAAATGTTGCTGATTTTATCCTCGATCTCATAAGAAAATTGGAAAAAGTTCGGAAAACAATTTTACAGGTATATATATTGTAAAAAATTCACTTGTTTGGGCCAATTTTGCATTCTTGGAATGGTGTTAAGTCGATTTGTCTGGGAAACGACGATTTTTAAAACTAAACTTGTAAAAAGTTTAAAGTCAAAATTTGAGATTTTGGAATTAAGTTACATTCTTACATCTGGATTGGGACGAATTTTAAAAGTAAACTTTTAAAAACTCTAAAATTAAATTTTGAACAAATATTAAACATACATATATTAAATACATAATCAACTCGCTGCAATGGTTAGAGATGGAAAAATGAAAAACTCGGGGAAATTCTGAAACCATGGGTTGGCATCACATCCGCCGTCCCGCATGGCCTGCTTTAATTTCGGGAGTGGCTTTTCCACTTACCCACCTGTAAACTGTAAAAGTCGTTGCACTCTTAGAACTTCGTGATGAGAAGCTACCCGAAGTTTTTGCGTCTTAAAACGTCGTCAAAGTCCCATTGACGGGTCAAGTTTGCATCCAGAGATTTACGATTCCGGAAAAATTCCCGTCCTGCATAACCTCCCACCCCCCACCGCACCTTGCAACCCTCCCTCAAGTCTCGCTCCCTGAATTACGTTAAATATGGGCGGCTCCAAAAGGGTTTCTTTTCAAGAGTTAACAGTACCCTGAAAAACGGAGGAGTTTCCTGAAGTTCTCGGTGCATTCGGGCAAGAAACTTTAACATATGGTGATAAACTCAAAAAGATACGCTGACAAAATCGTCGTTTTCCACACAAAAGAACGTAAATACATCACACTGTTGTCAAATTTCCTCTCGCAAATTCCATTTTTACCAGGGGAACCTTGAGTATTTGTGGCCAAAATTTCACTGATTTATCGTTAGGTCTCATGCAAAAATCAGAAAAATTTTGAAGATGAATTGCGCAGGTACATTCTTCCGGAAAATTGAATTGTTAGAGTCAATTTTGCAGCCTTTGAATGGGTTTACGTTCCTTCGTGCGGAAAACGAAGAAACGTCGTCGGAATATAATACGATCCTGCGCACAGAATACCGCACAAGAAACAAATGTACGGTATCATTGAAAGCGAGCTTGAAAAATTAATTTACCGTAAGTCGAAAATGAATAGACACTCTGGGTTGAGATTATGCACTGTTTGTTTTAGCATGGAAACATGTTACGCGTGGTACGCGGAACTTTCCGGAACTCTTAAAATTAATCTCCATGCGAGGAGTGAAGTTAACAAATTTAATTAGTTTATTTAAGTCAAATAAAAGTTCGACATTGTCTGCTTTGTATTACCCTATGTCAACGAAAATTAATTTCCCGCTTGCGAATTGATTTTCAAAGTTTTCGCCGTGTGCACTGCGCTCATGCAGTGTTGACGCGAACTTAGTTTCCATCGTTCGTACTACATATTTTACCTGCTCATTAACGAGAATGTCGAGGAGGTTTCAATTTCCATCTATAAATACACGTAATTGTATCGAAGGGGAAAAAATGAATTTTCTTCTTATTGTTGGATTGTGTATTTAAAATTTTATGTGAAGCAGGTAACACAATACCAGAAACACTTTATATTGAGAATACTGGTTTTTTTTTGTGTAACTCAAAATTTTAATTTAATTGGTCAGTTTTCGAAAGCTTCACCAATTTTGAAAGGCTGGTGAGGACCGTTGATTCAATGCTCCAAGAGCTTGCATGGATTTATTCCTGAAATTACTAAAAATATAGGTACTTCTTTGCGTAAATTTTCGAGGATAGGTGGCATTTTAATATCGATCACTGATTACTTGTTTCTTCTTTCCAGAGCAACCGCACATATTTTTATATCGTGGACCCTGTATTGCTGAACCACAATTTCCAGGTAACACCATTTAAATGCATACGCTTAGGAAATTGGTTGGCTTTTCGTGGAATATTATGACTATGCCCTAGATATATCGACAACTAATAAGTTTCTTCTTCATCATCCCTTTAAGATTAAGACAAAATTCTACCGAATGAGTCCCCCTTCCCCCTCCTACCTCTGATAAGAACTTCTTGCATCCAAACGAAAAAAAATTGGTGAACATAATGCAAGTGCCGCATTCATTTATTATTTTTAATTCCTAGATGAAATTGAGACGACATTCAAACACAGCCCGGTTAACTGTTTGGCAATTATTTTAGTCAAATATTTACTAAGTATCAAATTCTCATTAAGTCAGATCAAACATTTTCGGCTCTATGCTTATCTCACCTAAATAAATACCAATCGACATTATTTTAGAAAAAATGTGCAACTCCTCTATGTCATACGAATACTTTCCTTCTTAAAAAGTTGTAATCAAGTTTAATCGCATTGAGATCGAAGAGGAGAGCGATTTTTCAAAATAAAAATCAATTTTCGAGTAACAATATCATCTTTAAGTAACAAGGTGGAGGAATGGCGCTGGGTCCACACCATTTTGCGGGGATATCAAAGCCAAGAAGTTCCAACACGTTTTTCCTCATTATCATCTAATAGCAACCATTCTAACTCTAAACCCTCGATTTCAGGCCCGTATCCAATAGTGCTGGACGCTGATCGGGACGGAAACCTTTGCAAAATTTGCGCGGATCAGTGTCGGAACATTCACGAACCAGTCTGTGCGAGAGGTGCTCTCGGCCAATATTTACCCTTCAAAAGCCGCTGCCATCTTAGGTGTCACAACCAATGTCACTTTTACAGCAGTGAAGCCCGTAAGTCAATTTCGGAATATCAATCCGTTTCCCCGTGTTTCGCCAAACACTGGAAAAAAAACACATTGGACCTAGAGTCCATACTCTCAAAAACATTGGCAAGAAAAAATACTCTTGATCCAATCAGATTTAAGCTTAAATCAAGAACCCAGCCTCTTAATTTGAGCGGATTTCCTTTTGATTCAAGCTTATAAATCTGATTGAATCAAGAGTACCTATTTTTTCTTGTCAATGTTTTCAAGAGTCTGGACTCTAGATCCAATGTGTTTTTTCCAGTGAATGAAAAGTGATGAACATAGCACGAGCGATTTCCAAAATCAAGTCCGTCGAACTTGGTCTCGAGTTGGTCCTGTTGGTGAACCGAACGACTCATCAGTGGTCAGTATCATGCTATTCCTAGTGTTTCCACGAAAATGGACTGAATTTTGCAATTTGGAATTAAGATTTCTGGCTCAGTCTAGGAACAACGTATGCACCATTAGTTTTCCTATAAACATAAGTGCGTATGCAGATGAGCCCGAAATTTTAGTTCTTAATTGCAAAATTTAGTCAAAATAACGTTAATAAGTGGGGAACCGCTCGTGCAGGAAAATACTTTGTCTCGCCAGAGCGCCTTCAATATTTTTGTCTGCAACCCGGTCATCCGTTGAACACGAATAGTTGCATTCATGCCTATCATGAACGTTGCGTCGCAACCATCCTAAACCATGATCTTTTCCAGCGTCGCACAGTGGATCGAGTCAATCAGAGAGGTCGGACATCAAATTTTTTACTAAAACTGCAAATTTTTATGTATATTTCGTCACATTTTAAATTTTAAGTGGTGCCTATAGAAGAAAATTTCACGAGGCAACTTATGGAACCACTTTTAGAGCTTTACAATTTTGTATAAATAGAGTTATAAGCGTTTAAAGTTCCCAAATTGTGTCCAACCTCTCCTATTGACTCGATCCACTGTGCGTCGTTTCGTATTTTTCCTGACTGGAAATTATACTAAGTGATCTTCTTTTAGTAAAAGGTTTATAGAACGACGATTTTTAAAGATATACCTGTATTTGAAGTGTCCTTCATGGACGCTGATAGTGATCATTTTTTGAAAAGCTAAGATGCTTATTTTTTGGGTAATATTAAGTATTGACCTACGGCGAGTAAGTGAAAAAATAAATATGTTGGTCAACTTACTGACGAAAAACACGACTAGAAGCCTTTTCAGGTCGTTCATCCTCTGGTGATTTTCAACCTTCAACTCTTTATTTTCTCTTCAAAATCACCGAAATCTCTCGCAAAACGGACATGCATACGACATGACCCTTTAATTATTATTGTGAGTAAAAAGATGAATAGGAAGATTTCAAAAAGGAATAAAAACTAGAGCACTGTACTCTTGAAACAGAGTGTACAAAGTTCTTTAACAAGGTAGCTATGGAAAGTCGGAAAACACGACAAGCATGAAAAACAAGAAAGAGAACTTGATAATGAGCCATTAATTCAATATACCTACAATTTAAAAGTACATTATACTGTAAAATGGAGAACCGTTTTTACTTTCAAATATACTCCAATATTTAACGTATTACTTATATTCATAATATATAATTAATAATATGTTTTTTATTGCAGAATATTATCAAGTACACGATGGAGACTGCCGTTGGATTCAAAAGCGCTGAAAAATGCCGGAGCACATCATAACTTATTAATGTTGATCTCGTGAAAAGGACTTTTTTATCAGTTTCCATGCCTCTCAAAAGAAAGTTGGCCCAAAACTTATGGTGTGTCTACGTTCAAAACGTCCCTTTTTATTTGGACTGCATTTTGCAATTTGGAACTGTAAATTCTGGCCCGGTTTAAAAACAACGTATGTGCCATTAGTTTCCCAATGCACAGAAGTGTTTTTTCAGATGAGCCAGAATCTAAAGTTCCAAATTGCAAAATGCAGTCCATTCGTATCTTTTAGGATTTAGCGGATTTGTACTTATTTGATCTCAAACGTTAAACGTGACTGAAGCTTATTATTTCGAATATCATTCCCGTTTCGATATCTCTATCTAGTCTCCATACAATCATTCTCATTTTAAGATAGACACCTCACGCGTTAGAGAATTGAACGATGCTTTACAATTAGGAACTACCAATTCTGGCTCAGTTTAAAAACAACGTATATGCCATCAGTTTTCCTATACACTAAAGTGATTGCACACAGATGAACCAAAAATTGTAGTTCCTAATTGCAAAATGTAATCCAATTATTAAATCAGTCTTTGGTATTCCATGCAATGTTTCAGGTTATTCCAATGAAAGACTTTATGTAAATTCATCAAACATATTTTAGGCAAAACGTAATACCCAGGGTAAATTTTATACATCTGTTACGCTTGGACGTATAAATTGTTCGATATCCATGATTCCAGCGATTAAAATAAGTCAAGCCAGCGTCATCCCTTGAAATGTATACTTCGAAAAGAAATTCTTGAAAGGATTGTATTGACTCACAATAAAAGCACTGGGATAGCACTGACTAATTTGTTTTTCTGAACAAATGTATTTGAACGAATAAATATCACGAAGACTGCAGTTCAAGATGCCTATTTATTTTAATTGTATTTTAATATGCCGAGAAATTAAGTAGCATTACTTCAACAATAACTAAAGGTTATCATGCTTAGACCCATGTGGAGAAAGTAGTAATTTTTATCCCTAATCTCATTAGTTGCTTTTAGCATGTTCCTTACATTTTAACTGAAATACACAATAAACTGGCTCAAAACTTATGCATTTTTATTTTTTATGTTTATCATTGAACGTAGCGTATTATGAGTCTATCCTGGTATCCATGGCAAAAAATCGAGACTTCTCAGGACAATCATTGATTCAGTGTGTTAAAAAATTGTTTGTGTGGGGGAGGGGCAAATTTTTTCTCGCTGGCATGGCACTAGCTTTTACCTGAGCTTTAAGATAATTATTGAAAGAATAATCTAGCAACTTTGTGAAAATTTATCGCATTTTTGAAATTTCTGTCTTATAGCAAAATGATCGTACTAAAGATATTGCAAACCCTCCATCCTAATAAAATATTCCAACCCAATTTAATAGTTGACTTTATCCTGGGAAAATTGCATTAAGTTTTTTTGTCCTTTTAGACGATCCTACATGAATTTTTGTAAATTCACGTACATGCATCACATTGTAAAGGTTTTGGGTATGCATATTTTCAAATCTATGAATATGTGCATGGATCATTTGGATCATTTTACAAAAAATAAGCACTTTATCTGATTAATCCATAAAAGTACCCATCTGAATTGGAAAACTTGGGGTTTTTACGGTGTTATCCATGTGAATCAAAAATAGTGGTGCTATTTAAAAAAAAAAAAAAAAAAATTACTCTTTTTGGACTGAGTCAATCAGGAGTCAAGTCACATTTTAGAAAAAAATGAGTTATGGAAAGAAAGGTTGCAGCTTTACACGAGGCTTACCTTTTCTCCTGTTATAATTTCTGAGTCGGGGATAGTATTTTGATTGTGAGAGTAGGTGTTGAACTTCATCTCAAAAATTGAGTCATATAGGAGATACCGAAATTCCAATCTCTTTTCCTTAGTGTGGTCTTGATATGTGTCTTGGCTAGTGTCTCCTGAATTAGTCCAAGTAACAACCGCCAAGTTATTGGTGATCGGTTCACAGGATGCCATAATTGTTCCGATGGTTTAGCACTTCAGTTTACTCATTTTTCATACATTATTCGCATTCTGCGTTCACGCACCGGCGAATCAACGTTCGAGCGTTAAACTTGCAATTGTCCCGCACTCGGACCGCAAAAATTGCAAATACTCGCTATTGATTGCAGTCCTGAAAAACCGCGCCAAATATTTCCACACTAGAGAGTACACTGTTGCAAATGGGCCGCATTGCTGAAAGGGTTCACCGCAGAGCCCCGATCAGCCGGAAACAATCCGTGCGTTTCCGTTTCATAGGCAGTGTTGCCAAGTTCACCCTTAAATGTGTGCGTTACCTCAATACGCATTTACGTTAGAGTAGCGGCAATATGTCTCCTATTTAATGGGAATCTAGTGGCTCAAGAATAGCAAGTCTAGAAATAGAAATAATATCGAGGAGAGAAAATACGTTAGAGTAGCGGCAATATGTCTCCTATTTAATGGGCATCTAGTGACTCAAGAATAGCTAGTCTAGAAATAGAAATAATATTAAGAAGAGTAAATTTGCCGATGAAAAGTTTATAAAGAAAGAGTCTTTAGGTTATTTCACATACAGAAGCATGCACGATTTCAGCAACGCTCGATGACGATATACTGGGTTTCAAATTTCCAAATCTTCAATCATCCGTCAGGAAAACTCTGAAATTCACGGGAAAAAAATGATATTGCCGATTTAACAATTTTGTAGTTTAAAAGAGTGTCCGACATGTTTCAATGCAGATTGCACGATGAAAAATGCTAATTTAACCACCCCCGTGATTAAAGTTTCCAATATTGTAAAATATATACATTTGGAATGTGTCGGACATATTATTTAAGGTGATTCGGTGGACGGCGTATTTTGTGTCAGAACGGCATGCGATATATCGCATCAATTGGTTCCATTTTTTCAGGTACTCGTCATTTTCCTCCAATTTTGAGACCGCAATTCTGTTGTCAGGAGACTAAAGCACTCACTTACCAATTTTTAAAAACAAATTCAACGGAATAAAGGCGTGGTTTTTTCAGAGAGAAAACATCGCATTCGACACTGATATCGAAACTGCACTCGAATGCGATATTTTCTCTCTGAAAAAACCACGCCTTTATTCCGTTGAATTTCTTTGTGGAAATTGGTAAGTGAATGCTTTAGTCTCCCGACGACAGAATTGCGATCTCAAAATTGGAGAAAAATGACGAGTAGCTGAAAAAATGGAACCAATTGATGCGATATATCGCATGCCGTTCTGACACAAAATATGGCGTCCATCGAATGACCTTAAAGCAGCAATCCATTTTTCCCGTGTTTTCCACCCACTCGGCAACGTTGCTTAACATTCAAACGAAGGTCAATAATATTTGGGTGAAGCCTAGTCACGCGGCGGGAGACGCTAAAGTTATGAAATATTTTAAGTATCAATAACATTCCGTTAGGAATCGATTTCACGGTCCGTGTTCAGCCGGGAGCGTCGAACTGTCTACGGCTGAGAGTGAGGCTCTCTCACACTTTTTCGCCGGCGAATTTTTTCAATGAAATTGCTAAATTTCGTCTGGGCATTGTCTAGTGCTAAACCCGCGCCCAGAAGGAAAACTGAGGATATTTCTCGCGAAACGGACATCGGCCGGTAGGGAACTGGCAGATTGACCGCTACGCCTTAAACTCAAACAGGTGAATGGACTTCAAGACTGGTTAGGAAACCAAACATCACATTTTTTTTAGCCAACTTCGGCGGTGTAGTGATTAAGGCAGTTCTCTGTCAAAACTGAGGCCCCTGATCTGTTTCAAGTAGTAATGGTTAGTATGGTGTGGACACTTAAAAAGCCATCAACGTGGCCATTCCCGGATGATGATGTCATTCCAACACCCTGCCAGTTCTTGTGAGGAAAGAGAGAGATATGCCCATCTTGAGCAATTAAGTCAGTCCCTACTGTGTTTTCCCTCAACTTTTAACCCTGTTCAACATTCACCCCTCTTGTCTTTACAGTTGGCTGAAAAAGCGGTTTTTTATTTTTAAGTCTGTTAATTTTTGGCTACCATTGATTTTGACACACAGCACAGAGTCTTGTCAGTCTCTGGCTTGGATTATTTGTGGGTATTTTTAGTGGATTCGGCCAAAACGTTGCGATTCTATGGCCCAAAAGTATAAAAAAAAATATTATAGAAATTATGTGTGGTGAAGTCTAATATGTTTTGCTCATCATTACATATTTGCCTTAATTTTGAAAAGAATATCCATCAAGGCTCTCAAAATACAGCCTACTCTATCCTCTTCCTGGCCATACAGTTTAGTTCCCTATTCTGCCGGGCTAAGGAAAAACGCCGTATGAGCCTTCAGGCGTTGGCAAATCTTCCTCGATAAATCATGAATTTTCGGGGAAATTTGTAAATATTTTCCTGCGAAATTTTCGGAGGGTTTCGCTCATAATTTGATCTTAAGTACCTGAAAATTTAAAAAAATCAAAAAAAAAAAAAAAAAAAAAAATCATTTAGTTCTTCAAAAATAGATATTTCCTGAGAGGCAATTTGGCAACATTTGAATGATCTTACGGCGTTTTCCGTAGCACGACAATATCAGCCGCAGTATTTACGGTCCCAATTACCGCGGATCAATACAGACTCTACACCATCGATGAACAGGCCATCAGGGACTTTACTGAGAACCGAATTAATATTTTAAAAGTCATGCCAAGCAATGGGCTAGGGGGGCAAAAGTCAAACGACGAAAAACAGCGATGAAATTGAAGAGACTGAGAAGGGGCAATTTCATGTAAAATTACGATTACTACGACCCACCCAATCACAATCGGCGATCAGTGAACGGGCAATGGGGCATCTTATAGCGTATTGATGAGCTGTGAAGAGATCGAACTCCCTCCCTCCCGCCCGTAAGAACTTCCCACGGAATTTCCATTAGAAAAAACGGCCCCACCCTTGCACCGTTGCGCACACACCTCAGACTGCCGCGAAAGGAGCGGCGCTTAATATTTCCCGAGTAATTGCTCAATTATGTCTCAAAGCGAGCGAAAATAAAAAGAACGGCTCCGAAGAATGGTTTTTTGAATTTTATTAATCTCGCAACAGAAAATTAAAAGACCCCTCCCCGGGTAATCCGTCGGGGC